AACAAATCGAGAAAATTATTCAGCTGTACGAAACGATGAAGACAAGACATTCGACGATGCTTGTCGGACCCACGATGTTCGTTCATTTTGTTTGTGCATCGCGATATCGATCGGCAACGTTTTCTGAATTTTCAGGAGTGGCAAAACAGTTGTGTTGAACATTTTAGCCGAATGTCAAAGTCAAATGGGAATGAAAACAATTCTCTACACACTCAATCCAAAAGCAATGAATCTCGTCGAACTTTATGGATTTCTCGATTCTCCCATGTAACTTTTTTTTATCGTGAAACGCGTTTAAATCGCGTCTTAGCTGCGTCTGACACGCTGCAATACAGATGCGTCTGGCTGCGTCTAAAATGAAACATTTGATGCATGCAAACGCATCTTAGAACCGCGACACAGTGCATCTGTCAGATGCGTTCAAACGCGTTTACATGGACAAACGCGGTCAGTTGCAGCCAAGTTTGGTTGCATCAGGATGCGTCTAAAATGAAACATTTGATGCATTGAAACGCGCATCATGCTCGCAGCTGAACGCGGTTCTCTAGTTTGCACCCAGACGCGTTTCGTGGTTGAGTAAAAATAAATAATTGAAACTCGTCATATCAATCAACACCTATAGAGCACCGATTTATTACAAGGTATTTTTATTCGATGCTGACAAGGGTCGAACTGTGAATCATTGACTTTTGCTCTTACTGTGATGGTCAGTTTAATTCCGTCGTCTAGAATCGAACCAGAGAACAACCAATTATGAAGCAAGTGACTTACCGTTCGACTTGATTTTTCTGTTCATGGTCTTATTTGAATAGCTATTTGAAACATGTTTAACACATGCTGCTAAAAAACCCATTGGATTGAATTTCGTTTTTATGAATTGAGTTATATTTTTCGGAGAAAAAACAAAATAATTCGTCAGTCACAGGAAAAATCACTTCGGTGACAATATTCATACTAGTTGATCCACAAACATAAAGAATTATTCCAATGAACTTGAACTATTCATTAACTACTCCGATCATGATCCCTGAAAATTCTCAAAAGAAAATCAAAGAGATCTGATAAACAAAAGGAATAAAAAGCAGTCCGATGTATTTTTTCACAGACAACTATTCGAACATATGATCCAGTGAACGATCGAATTCGTCACGAGAGAATTTCCGTCAGTGTCTCTAACCAAAGGTTGACCATAATCTTTCAAAACATCACGAAAATAAAACAGTAAACATGTTTACTTGGCGTTGAATTCGTCTTATATAAATCATCAGACACAGTCAAACATATGACTTGACTAATGTTCTTGATAGCCAAGAAACATTTACTCGAGATAGAATACAATTACGTTCCGATTCAGCATTGTTTTTTTATCAAGATATTGATGACGAAAGATGCATAGTGATTGAATGATATGCATGACAAATCAGATCGAATTTTGATTCCATCAAATCTTAACAAGAACACTGTTCAGCCAATTGAATCATTTGGACATAAACCAACCATTCATTCGCTCTTCGTTTCTGTCTGTTCTATATTTGAACCGTTAGATAGAAAGTTCGAGAAGTTCCAGAACATTCGTGACGATGAAAAATAGAAAAGATTTATATTCTATTTGAGTCGATCAAGAAGAATAAATTCTTATTCAGACCATTCATGTGTTTCATCGAAGCAGATCTTCAGTATTTGTTCATTTATTCTAGATATGCAACGAAACAACTCGAAAGCAAGTGTCGGGTCGATTGAATCTGCTCGTGTTGGTGGAAAAAAAATGCACCTACACACGTGATCATCCAACGAGAGAAAAGCGACGAGCTGCTTCTCTTACCAGTAACCCATTTGGTCAATGGCGCTGTGACCAGAATGAAATTAAATGAAACGACAACTTTCAAAATTGATTTGAATGATCGAAAACAAGAACGTGGTGTGATTGTATCATTTGGTAGGTCTCTGTGATTGATAATTTTTTTCCGTAATTTTTCCATTTAGGATCAGAAGATGTTTGTGCAGAACAGATTCAGATTCTTTCCATGGCGTTGTCCGATAATCAAATCGATTTTGATCCACATTCAGAAAAGAACACGGATAAAGGCGAAACACAGAAAGAGAAAAAAAAACAAAAGAATCCATCGGTTAAAACATCATTACGTAAATGGAAAGATAAAAAGATCAAAATTGATTTTGTTTCTTCTTTATTATCTCTTCTAGAGCAAAAGCCAATGCAACAATCTACGAAGAAAGCAATGAAAGAAAGTAAACGATTCGCTCGAAACATTAATTGTTGATGTAAAAGTCTAACTTTTTACTAAAGATCGACCAACAGTACATGAAATGAGTAAAAACGTTTCATCAAAGATCAGTAAAGCAAA